AGGAAAAATGCTTCATTTCAGTGCGTGGTTTTACATAATCCCAGAAAACTGCTGGAGTATATTAAGCACTAAATCAGATTTCCTGATTGTGTCCCTATGGCTCTGTGTATGCACAGACATTTCCATTTCCCATCTAGTTGTGCATAATCATCAATGGGAGAAAAGATAAACAGCTCGCTCAGAGGAAGAAAATGCTGAAAATAGCCCTACCATGGAAGAGAAGGAAAGGGCTGCTTTAAGTCTCCAGCAGCTTCATAAAGAAAGATAAAGTGGCAATTCTTAAAATGCACCATTCTTGACAGCAGAATGGTTCCCAGCACCTTCCTGGGCAGGTGCTGAGAGCACAGCCACCCTGTTTTGCAACTAAGCTGAACAATAAATTGCAGCTTCTACTCTGTTTGAAATCAGGAACTTTTGATTCACATCAAAGTCAGGAGTTAGGATTGCAAGGTAGTACGTGTGGGACATCAGTGTCCCCTGAGCAGACAGGCAGTGCAGTGCCATGGAGGGACCTGCTGCTCCAGAATCACAATTAAACTCTGCAGTTTGTGCTCAGATGGCACTTTTTAGGTGGGGAAAAGAGGAGAACACTTTACTGTTTGCAGGGGGCCACCCCGAAGGAGGCACAAAGCGAAGAAGACAGTCTGGATTTGGCGAAAACAAAGCAAAGACACAAGACCAAAAAGACCAAATCTTTGGTTCCCATTTTAGGGCTATCCTAATTTCACCTTCCAGGCTCTAGATCTGTTTTGCAGCCCCAGCAATACCTTCAAGAAGAGCCCCCCTCCCCAGGCAGGGCAGAGCACTGAGCCTGATCCACCTGAACACTTTGCTGCCAGACTGTTTGGTGGTCCTGTGCCAAGTGCTTTGGCAGGAGCTGCTCGGTGCTAAGCACTTGGAAATCCAGTCTGCTAAAACCATCCCAAATAGCTCCAGCCATCGCATTCACCAAGGTACCTCAGGTGCTGACAACAGCTTATCCCAACCCTCACCTCTGTGCCCTAGAGTGTAAACACAGTCCCAGCACAGGGCACATCATGGGCAGTGTGGCCAAGCCCCCAGAGTGGCCATCAGACATTGCAGGGGGCATGTCCCAGCAGAGCTCAGCCTGCTCAGCCTTAGCCTCCACAGTGCCCGAGCTCTCAGCAAAACCAGCAGTGATGGCCTGGGACAGGCAGGAGCTTAGGGATGGAGTGGGAGCGTGAGGAGGAAGAGCGGGAGGAAGCAGCCAGAGAGGGGATGCTGCTGCTCATAGCAGGAACCAGGGATCTAAACTCTCACTGAACTTCAGGGGAAAACAAGGAGAATATACACTAGCTGATGCATTTTCTACAGGTTCTACTGCTAGAAAGTAAGTTGAAAAGCTGAATCACCCCAGTGCTCTATTAGGGAGAGAAATTATCTACGAAACAAGCATGACAATCTATCAGAAATTAGTCACAGTCAAAGCTCTCTTGACACTGCAAACATCCACCACCCCACCATTCCTTTCTCCTGGGATTGTCCCACTCCCTCCACTCCTGGTCCCTGCAAACCCATCTCCTGTGCTGAGCCTCTCTCCTCTCCCTGACAAGCCCACCCTCTGCTCCTTGCTGCCAAGCCACAGAGCCTGCAGGTGCCCTCTCCATAGGGAAGGTGGGGACCCAGGACCAGGGCATCACACGGTGTCCCCTCCTGCCACACCACTCTCCTGGAGCTCCCCACCCCACACAGGGAGTTTACCTGGAGGGCTGTGCATGTTCCTTCTTGTCCCCTGGCCTTGGAGGATGCTGTGGTGGCTTTGCTGCCTCTGCAGAGCAGGAGGTCGGTGCTCGGGTGCCCAGTGAGGGGACAAAGTCTCCTCCCTCAGTCACAAGGGCAGAGCCCCAGCCCTGGGGAGAGGCTGTGTGGGGAGGATGGCTCCAGGCTGGGGCTGCACCTGCCTGTCCCACCCAGAGCACAGGAGCAGGTGAGATCCAACAGCATCTGAAACGAAAAAGGCACAACAAAAGAGCCGACTTTCAATGCCTTTGCCTTACATAAGCGTAAGTTCCCATCCTGACCTTGGGAAGCTGCTGGCTCTCAAGAAAATAATTGACAGTTTCATAACCTTCGAGTTACATATCACAGACATGCCCCAGCTCAACCACCAGGTATGGGGCCAAAAGTGTCCCAGGACTCTGAACCCCAGATTATCTACAAGTAGTCCTTAGCCACAAGGTCACCACTGCCCTGCACAGCCACACACTGGAATAACCCTGCTCTGGGGGCCAGGTCTCTGCACAGGCTGGGGCAGGTACCAGCTCATCTGCACCCCAAGAAAGGGTCCCAGGAACGGACTGACTGTGGGAGGCATCAGGAGCAAGCAGTGGGAACATCCGAGGCATCCAAAAGCCTGAGGTGGCCTGCAGCAGGGCTGGGCAGAATGGCTTGGTGAGGAATTAAAGCAAAGTCCTTAATGAGCGTGTGATGGAGCTGAGGTGGGCTGGTGATGGAACCCAGGCCTGGTTAAGGGCTTCCATGTGGTGGAAAAGTCTCTCCTCCAACCCGAGCTTCCAAAGAAAGGCTCAGCAGTCTCTGTTGTTCCGTCTCAAGGCAGTTTATTGCAAGTTATCTAAAAGATTTTCTTCTGGGGCTGCTGTGGTTTGCTCACAGCTCAGGCAGAGGCACACACACACCCTGACATCCTCTCTGACCCCGACTGCTTCTTCTCCCCACCCAGGGCTGCTGCTGTCTTTTTATATGGTACATTACGTGTTAAATGTTTACAGTTTTCCCTAATGCCTATTACCTATATTAAATGGTGCCTTTCTACTCTAAACCAATCTGTGAGTGCCAACATCACCAAGAACATGGAGGTAAGGAAGGAGAAAGAGGGAGGACAGGGCAGGGCCAAATCCCTCCATCTTAAAACCTCTGACCCCTATGTACAAAGTAAAAACCTCCCTGTACAGGGGTTAAAAGCCCCCTGTACAATACTAAAAAATTCTTCCCCCTACTTTGTAACTACTTTTACTATAACATCTAAACTGTTGTGACTTCTTGTTCTTCCTGCAAAGTTGGTAAATCATTCCATGGCTCAAACCCAAAATTACAGCTGTTTCCAGCTGCCTGCCAGGGTCTCAAATGCTTCTGACCAGGGCCTGGAACCTCCAAAAATGTCTGAGGGACATTTTGAGTTCCAGCAGGCTGGCCATCTCCTTTGTGTTCAGATGAAACACAAACTGAAGGTAATGAGGAAATATGGACTCCCCCATAACCACCTGTTACCTCTGGGATGCATCACCCCGGCTTCATTCACTCCAGGACTGACTCAATGTACCTGCAAAGAGTGCAGAGAGAGCCACGGGCTGGGCAGAGGAGGCAAACAGGCTGGGGGAGCTCACACAGGGCTCTTGGCAGCCCCTCTACAAGATGGAAGGTACAGACATGTGGCAGTCTTTGGTGCTGGCAAGCAGCTGGACTATGAAAAGTTAATTTGTCAACTTCTCAAATGTAACAGAAGATATTTCAGTGTCCCCAGAATAGAATAGGGAAGTATAAATGAAAATAAGTAAATGCACATGATGAAAGAGTAAAAGAAAAGCAAATAAAAGAAATCTCAGTGCTGATTGTATTGTTATTAATTAAAACAAATAAAAAAGATGAAAAAACAGACATCCTGGCATGCCTAAGGTATTTCTATTTTATGATTTAGTAAACAGCAAACTGCATTAGAATTGCAGTTCCTGCAGAAAGCAGTAAAATTGCACTTAGATTGGGAGTTAAAATTTCAGATAAGCATTTGGTAAACAGACTACAAGATTTAGTGTGCCATCTAATCCACATGCACTAGATTTAAGGTGACTTTGGGAAAGTTGTTTCACTTCTAAGACTCTAATTTTCTTCTTCTCCAAAATGGGGTTAACAGCCTGTCCTCTTTAAAAAGCACTTTGCCATCTGGAGATGAAGCCAGCAGTGAGGACTGGAGTCAGGAGTTAGGCATTTCTTGGAGTAGGGCTACATGGCTTTGGAGATTTATCTTGCAGCTCTTTCTCAACGTTAATTTTGAGATAGGTGAAGGTTCCAAAGTGAGTTTGGCTGCAATTAAGCCTTCAAAGCAATGACACAATGTTGTCCAATGGCTTCTTTAAGATTAATTTTTTCCTGCCTCTGCTTTTACATCTGATTTTGGTTTTCTTGATCTTTGTTTCTGAACAAGGACAGCTTTCAGAAACACGGCTGAGAAGGTGGCAAAGACAGGTTTGTGCCTTCAGGCACTGCTGGTGGAATCAAAGGAAGATTTCACCAGTGTGCTCAGCACACAGAGCTGTATGCCAAAGGAATATTTTGTGTGGCAACCTGAGCCTGGGGCCCTCCAAAAGACCCAGCTAGAAGATCACATGCAAAAGTGAATTGTGCATCTCCCAGTCACGTGGGGATCAAAACCCAGCTCATGCCCCAAAGAGCCCTTCAGGAGATAAATGCTCTCTGATAATTTTTTTAAACCCACCATAAAAGTTAAAATATATATTATATAAATATAGTTTTGTTCCTCAATCCAAGAGAATCCCAGGGATGTGAACTCAAAAGAGGTTTAACCAGCTGGTATTGATCCCCATGCTTCTGCTCCTGTCTCATCCCATAAGAGCAGCTCAGAGCTGCAGCCAGATCAGAGACTCTGCTCAGCAAAGAAGGTTCCTGAATGATGTGAAGAATCACACAAACTACCTTTCATAACTTTAAATTTGCTGTAGGGCATCATGTTGGAAGTTAATGTATTCACTCCTATTGTACACCTTAAGCATTATAAAACCAGCTGATTACACAACCCCATCCTGGTAGTCGCACGTGTCTTCAAACATTCCTGCCACCCCTAACGTGCATCCCAGATTAGGTAATCTCAGTTTTGTAATTAGTCTCTCACATGGAGAGGAGACCTCCCCTCCTGATGCCTGGTCACCCTGCAGCCTTTAAAAAGCACCTCAAAGGCACCCAGTGATGGGAGATCTCTGGCTAGGGAGATTTCACCTTCTGGAAGCATGCTGGTGACAGAAGAGGCGTGTGCTGCAGCAGTCCCAGGAGCCACCATGCCCCAGGAGCCCCGGCAGACGGATTTCCAGCTGGTGCGAGTCAGGAGCACGTGGTGCCGCATCAAGAAAGGAGAAGCCCTTTCCAGCGACGAGGATGAGATCACTCTCTCTGAGGCAAAAATGTGAGTACAGGAAGGAGCCTGTGTTGTTCTGGCCGGCCAAACTGGTCATTTTTCTTGGTGGGATGGAAAAACCATCTTGGGTGCCATGGCGGCTTCAACCTGCAATGACAGATTTACAGAATTACAGAATAGTTCAGGAAGGGATCTTTAAAGGTCATCTAATCCAAACCCTGCAATGGGCAGGGACACTTTCCACTAGAGCAGGGTTCTCCAAGCCCCATCCAACCTGACCTATGTGTACAAAGCTGTGAACATGTCTTGGGAACGTGGCCAGTATGGCAGCAAAGGCAGATGCAGTGCTCCTTGACACAGCTCGGAGTTACAAAGGGAATTTTATCAGCAGCCTCCATTTTTGTAGAGAGGAATTTTCTTTAAACTCCTGAAAAATTTACACAGAGACATCTGCATGCTGCACTTGGGCTCTTTTTCTCCCGTTCTGTGAAACTTCAATCTGTGTGTTCAAAATCTCACGCTGAGGCATGGGAGACAGATGGGTTTATAGAGGTGGTTGTAGACAAATGAAATGAGTAGGTGGGAAAAATAAACTGCCACTGACAGAAGCAAAACCCTTAACACATCCCTCAAACTGCAGAAGTCACCTAATGCTGCTTCAGATAGAGCAAAGACAAAACCTTCCCCCAGGGATACACACAGCTCTTTGGTGATAGTGCATCTCTCCAGTTAATTATCTTTTAATTACAGCATACTCCTTTTCACAGTAAATGGAGCTTCATTCATAATGCAAACCTTTTTTAATACCACTCTCTTCTGCATGTCAGAAGTTTTCCAGCCTTTGTCATACTCAGATTTTAATGGCACAAGTCTATCCTGTTTCTCAGCCAGGTCAGAGGGACCTTCACCAGCGCTGGCAGTGGCTGCACAGGAGCTGCAGAGCTGCAGCTGGTGGAGCAGGACTGTAGCAGATCCAAAATCAGCCTGCTGGACCTCAGTCAATAGGAGGGATGAACCTAGGGCCCAAGAGCACGCAGGAAAATCCTCAGCTGACATATGCTCCCACAAGGGCATGTTCAGCCCCAAAATCCCTCTGATTTTTTGTACAGCAGAGGGGTTGCAATGAGTGCTGGTTGTAGCATCCAGCACCCGAAGTTGATTCCACCAAGTAATATTCCAAACCATCCTGTCTCTTAGAAGGGTCACACACCAGCGATGAACGCACATGGAGTTAAGTACAGCTATAAGATGGTGCATTAAAATGTACACAACAATGTTTTTTCTGATACTGTATTTGAAAAGCCCAGAATAAATTTTCTGGAAGGTGTAAATCCTCACCGGTTTTCTTTAACAGCTATGGAGTTTAAGGGCTTAGAGACTTTAAGAATTTAAGACTTAGAGACAACTTGGTAAAGAAAGCAGAGAAGCATCTATTTGACCTTTAAGTTAATGTTCAGGAATGTGAAAAGAAATTGGGCATGTAGGGAAATCTGATTATCTAATGAATATCACAGAAACTAATTTTTTACCAAAATGCAGCTCAAGAAATAGTCTTACATAAAAGACATTTTGCTATTTCGTTCTGCCTGTTTTAATTTTTTTTCTTTCTTGATTCCCAATTTGTTTTGTCCCTGGTTTGCCCATCCCACAGAAGGAAGGGGTTGTAGGGCTGTTTTTCATTCGTTTAGATAGATAACTAATTTTGGCTTTTACCCTTGAAAACTCCAGCATGGAAATATTTCCCAGCCTCCAAATCATTTTCTTTCCCTCTTCACAAGCACTTCCTATTTCTATCACACCTATTTTGAGGTAGAGATCTGGTAGTTCAACTAAAACATTGTAGAAGCATTGGTCTGAATGGAGTTGTGTGGCTGTGTATAGACAGCCAGGAATAAATTAACTCCTACCATCCAGATACACCACCAGAGGATGCTTGTTCCATAAATGTGGAAAATTTTGGCAACCTCTGCTCTTCCCCTTCTGAAAGCTGAAATGATTGGGCTGGCTCATTCGTTTTAGGTTTTTCACTTCTAGCATGAAAAGCATGTCCCAGCCCTTCTGGACTGTATCTTTTTAATGCTATGTAGGAATTCAGGCATTTAACTCTTCACTAAGACCTCAGAGAGCTTCTCCATGAATAAAATTGCTGAGTCCTGATGCCCAGGGAGGTAACCCACCCTCATAGCTCCATGTTTCTGCAGTGCATGGGCAAGAGACTCCACATTCTTTATCTCCCAGCAATATCCTTAAACTAGTTCAGACATGCAAAGGTCAAACTAGAAATACAGTGATTTCAAACCACGTTTTCTGATCCTTGCCAGAGGTGAGTGCATCTCCGAAGGTGGGATTTCCTGGATAATTGAAGCTCCCATCTATTTTTGCTACAAAGTGGTAGAAACGTACAACATTCTGGATCCCTCCAACACCACTCTGCTCTGGGGTCACATCACTGACCCCCAGCAAATAGAGCTCGCCATGGCCAGCAAGAGGAAACTGCGGCGCTTTATCGTCATAGACGAAGTCGTCGACAAACTTTACGGCTCCAAAGTCAGAGAGTACTTTGAAGAGAACAACGTCCAGCACAAAATCCTCGCCCTGCCAACCACTGAGGAAACAAAATCCATGGACTTGGTGCTGAACATCTTGCATGAGGTCCAGAACTTCAGCCTGGACCGGCGGACGGAGCCCATCATCGCCATCGGCGGGGGCGTGTGCCTGGACATCGTCGGCCTCGCCGCGTCGCTCTACAGGAGACGCACCCCCTACATCCGGGTCCCCACCACCCTCCTCTCCTACGTGGATGCCAGCGTGGGGGCCAAGAACGGGGTGAACTTTCTGCAGTGTAAGAACAAGCTCGGGGGCTACACCCCGCCCGCGGCGAGTTTCCTGGATAGATCCTTCATCCAGAGCATCCCTCGGCGGCACATCTCCAATGGCCTCGGGGAAATTTTAAAGGTATGAACTTTTGTAAATGCAGTTTTCAAAACTGAAGTCATACAATGGTTTGGGTTGGAAGGGACCTTTGGAGGTCACCAAATCCAATCCCCCTGTGATAAGCAGGGATACCTTTCACTAGGTCAGGTTGCTCAAAGCCCCTACTGAGTATTGAATGGGGCATCTACCAGTCCCTGGAACATTCATTACAGGGTTTCACTACCCCCCATTGTAAAAAATTTCTTCCTCACAACTAGCCTGAATCTGTCTATTTTCAGTTTAAACCACTATCCCTGTTCCAGCACAACAGGCCCTCCTAAGAAGTCTGTCCTCATCTTTCTTGCTTCTTTTAAGTATTGGAAAGTAAAATGTCCACCAGCAGCCATGGCATTGTATAAACAACTTAGAGGAATCAAGGTGGGCCATGAAGGGTGGATTGGAAATTTAACTCTCATTGAGTCTATATACATATTTTTTACAGCTGCTAAATTTGTTAGAAGATCCCATACACTCAGTGTCCAGTGCTAACCCTGTGGAGGAAACTCCAAAACTCACAGCCAGAAACAGCAGAAACTCACAGGAGACACAGCAAAACCAGGGAAGAAAAGCCTTATCTTTCCATTGAGGCTGATCCATAGCAATCTGTAATGAACTCCTGGCAGAGAATCTGAGACTCATTTTGCTGGGGATTAATAATCTGCAAGATCATTTGCACCTACCTCAGTGGGTATGTCGAGTGTGGTTAATCAATCTCCTGCGAGGCAAATTCTACTTCTAAAATTACCTGGAAAGTGCACAGTAAATGGCTTTATGTCTGGAGAGCTTTGGAAACTTTTGATAAAGCGGAGTTCAGCTATTAAAGTGTATTAGAGATGAGTTCATCAACATCACTCTTCAGTGCTTGCACAGTGAGAAATCCCCAGGATATCTGGAGGTTTCTGGCAGGCCCTGTGAAACCCTCAGGTCACCATTCCCCACTGCAGGGGTGGGGCTAATGCCTGAGTCAGAGAGGGAGGAAAAAAATATGTACTTCTAACAAGGACATCACTTCTAAACCCTCCTATTCTCTATACTGCAGTATTTTTCCTCCTTTTATTGCCCGAAGAGCAACTCCAAGGTGGTGGTCCCCACCACCCAGACCCTGTCCTAGGGATTGGCCATGATTCAGTCCCAAGTTTCCTTCCAGGCACGAAAACAACCAAATCTCATTACAAACCACCTGCAGGGACATGGGAGCACGTAGCAAACCCCCAGCATGGGCAGAGCTGCCCAGCAGCAGGGGAGCCAAATAACATATAATATGTTATTTCAGTCCAATCTACAGAAACACTCACATTTCCAGCAGCACACACAAGGATCAGACAGTTACCCTTAATTAATCTCCTTCTTTGTCCCAGATGGCCCTCATGAAACACAAAGGGCTGTTTGACCTGCTCAAGAGCCATGGAAAATACCTACTGGACACTAAGTTCCAGTCTTGCAACAGCTTTGCTCACCACGGGGATGCTGCACTGCAGACTACCAGGATTGCCATTGAAACCATGCTGGAAGAGCTGGCTCCCAACCTCTGGGAGGATGATCTGGACAGACTGGTTGATTTTGGCCACCTTATTAGCCCAGAGCTGGAAATGGTGAGTGACAGACTTTATATTGCAATATCCACTTCAAAGATAAAATAAAGCTATTCAGTAGGCTTCACGAAAACCTTGTGAAAAGGAGTTGAAACTCCAGATTTGCACATGCTAGGTCACCCAACACACCAGCCTGGTGTCAAAGGGACTCCTTCTCCTGCCCCATTTCCCCCACACCTCCACCCATTTCCAATTCAGACCTCGATCCAGTTGTTGCTTCTTACTGGGCACATACTGAAGCTCAAATAAACCAGATTCCAGTGAAGCCACTGGAAGTCACCAACATGACCTGTAAGAGCACAAAGGCATGGAGCCCATAGCCCGTATTGCAGGGGAGAAATTGCCATTGAGGAATGAGGGGGGACACCTACATCTTATCCAATATCCAGAGCCCATCCCTCCATCCCATGGTTGTCTAACACTGATTTAAATGGGAGGAAAATTAGATCCTAGATCCCTACGGGAGATTTTAGCTGCGATTAATCACGTGCAAAACAGATCATCCTAGCAACCCATAAATCACAAGATGCCAACATCCAGCAACCACGGTGAGTCAAATGTCGATTCACAGGGACGCTTTTAGACATGAACCCCACTTGTTTCCTATCTGCCACCCCAAACCTTCTCTGCCACCCACCTTTGCCGTGCTGCAGAGGGTTTTGCCGTCGCTGATGCACGGGGAAGCCGTGAACGTCGACATGGCATTCATGACGTACGTGGCCCACGCGCGCGGGCTCCTGCGCGCCGAGGAGAAGGAGCAGATCCTGCAGTGCATGCGGGGCCTGGAGCTGCCGGTCTGGCACAGCGGCTGCAGCTGGGCCCTGATCCAGAGAGCCCTGCGGGAGCGCCTCAAGCACAGCGGGGGACAGCCGAGGATGCCGCTGCCCACCGGCCTCGGCGTGGCAGGTACGGCCTGGGGGACCCCACGGGGACAGCCTGGGAAATGTGCCCCGCGGTCTGCAGTTGTGCATTTCTTGTGCTCTTTTGTCACGTCTCGGTGAAGCCATCGAGAGAGAGGATCCCTCCTGTGTACAAGCCCCAGAACTTCGTTAAGGGCTGAGCTCTAATTAATTGCATTACGATTAACCAATTCATTTTGCAAAGGGAAATGCAGTGCCTCTGGCAGACAAACCAGCAAGAGGAAAAGAGAAAAATAATTCCTCTGCTATACTTGAAAAGATTTGTTAAATATCCTTGGCAAAAAGAATTTAATTTTTTAATTTGCCCTGAACTAATTACTTGCAAACTAAGTATCTGATCAGTATCAGGGTGAAATACTCATAAAATTTAAAAATAAAAGCCAACCAACCCCTAACACAGAAGCAATGCATGGAACCGGGTTGTGATCTCTGGCATCTCTTTCCTTTTCACACCATTTCCATGAAGCTCAGTCTCGACACACAAAAGGCTCTCACAAACTGGAGTGACTCTGCCACGGTCAGTGTATACAGGCAGGAAAAGCTCCTCTGCACGTCCCACTAACTACAACTCTTATCTTCCAGACATATTCAATGACACCAGTGAAGAGACTCTGGAAAGAGCATACAAGCTGTGGGTCAAGGACTGCAAGATGGGGCTGGAGGAAGAGCTGCAAGCCCAAGTTGATGGTCCTGCCCCAGGCCTGAGCTGTTTGCCCCAGTAAGGTAGTGGGCAGAACTGAAGTTTGAACAGGATGAATGCAGAAGCACCTGTGACACTGCATACACTCCAGAGCTGCGTGGAACAAGCAGAATATTGGCGTCTGACATGATTTGCCTTTTTCAATTGCTTTGTTTGAATGGGAATCTATTATTACTCAAGAAGGGATTGCTCACAAGTGAAACCACTGAGTGCCAGTAGTGTAGTTCATAGCAAATGGTCTTCTTTCAGGGAGAGTGAGCAGGATTATTCATTTATTTAGTTAATCCAAGTTGGTAACTGCCATGGCCCTTGCCACTGGTATCCCACCATTGCTTGTGCCTGGAGCCCTGACACAAGCAGGTGTAGCTGGCTCATAGACCATGATATGGCACCAGGCAAAATTTCTATGCTATATAAAATATTTCAAATAGGTTATCACCTTCACTGGTCATTCTTTTCTTCTTTGTGTTCTTGTTTTCTCTTATTCAAAAGAGGAAAACAAAGAAGCTCATCTGCCAGCCTTTGCACCCAGTCTAAGGGAATGACACACTCTGATTAGAGGCACCATCACAAGCCACAGATCAGTAAATATTTCTGCTGTGGAGCACTGTGGGGCTGTCTCCTGGCAGTATGGCAGCCCTTTGTCTTGGGACCCTCAGGACATGCTGGCAAGTCTTCTCTTGCTGCCCAAATGTTTGTGGTGGTTTCATTCTGTAATCCCTGCAGCCACTGGTGTGACAAACATGGCACAGTTTGCAGCACTGCTGGCTAAGAACAAAGCTGGGCTCCTGGCAAGATTGCAGAACCCCCTGGTGTCCCCACATCTGCCACAGGGCTCCCTGTACCTGTCAGACCCTGTCAGGCTCCTTTCCCATCTCAGCCTCTTCTGGTTAGAAAAGGCTAGCTGGGGAAAACCAAGAGAAATTAGAGGACTCCAAGCAAGTTCATCATCTTCAAGAAGTTGCAGTGTCATGTCTCAGGATCCTGGCAGACCCAGAGCAGATTACATAATGGATGCTGATGATGAAAAAATGTAAAATTAATGCCACCCTCCTCCCTTTGATTCCAATCAAAAGGAATTGCAATCAACAAACAGCCTTTGAATTATTGACAACATTATTTGTTTTTTCCCCTGGTGTTTTTGTCCCACACCAGTTTGTGCTAATATGCTGGCTTCTGTTTTGCTGAAGTAATAAAAGCTACTAAAATTGAAAAATTTTTGAACTAATGATTGCATTACTGCCCACAGTGGATGCCTGAGTACCTTTGCACGTGCTTGAGAGACACAGACTGGAGAAATGTGATGTAGAGCTGACATAGTAAATCCCTTTTCTCCTTGAGCCTGGAGAAGAGGTGTTTAAAATGGAATGCCCCACTCAGCCTTCTCCAGAGCAGTGCATCTCTCCAGTTTCAGGACAGGGCTTCACACAGAGAGTACCAGCTTACCAAGGGGCTTTAGAGCACATCCTCAGAGCCACAGCTTCTTAAAAAGAAACCCATATTTGCCAGAATTAAATAAGTTGGGGCTGAGGAGATCAGTGAACTTGTCTCCTTTCTCCAGGCATCAAACACAGGCTCATTCAGTGAGTTTCTGAGAGCAGCCACGGTGTGGGGAGAGCTTCTCTCAGGGACCCACCAGCACCACCAGCTTTGCTGGAACAGAGGCAGTGCAGCAGGAGAGCAGGTGAGGCCCCGTGAGTGAAGGAAGGAAGGAGCCAGAGGAGGAACCAGGCTCTGCTCAATGGTACCCAGCAAGAGGAGAAGAGGACACAGGCAGAAAGTGATGCCCAGAATGCTCCACCTGAACTTGAGGAAGAATTTCTTTGTTGTGCAGTGAACATGCACTGGAACAGGTTGTCCAGAGAGGTGTGGAGTCTCCCTCACTGGGGGTATTCCAGAACTGTCTGGACGCAATCCTGTGCTCTGGGATGACCCTGATCAAGCAGGGAGGTTGAACCAGATGACCCACTGTGGTCTCTTCCAACCTGAAATATTCAACTTTTTCAGCTCTCTCATGCTCCCTAACTTTTTGGGAGCATGAGGGAGACGCAGGGACAGCAGCCTGAGAGACAAAGGTGCTGAGAGCCATTTAATGTTGTGCTTACAGTGATCACCTGGGCACACTCACAAATGCTCCTCCTTCTCTCCAGCAGCTGTGTGGGCCGTTTTTCACACCAGATAACCTGGAAATGAACGAAGCACAGGATTATCACCTGCCCAAGTCAGTGTCCCACTCCCCTCTACCTCTCAACTTGCTTATTTTAAATGTCCCGGGAGAGATGCTCAGGAGCCCAAAGGCATTAGGAATTCCATTTCCAGGGAAAGCCAAGGTGCAGCTTAGCAGGGTCGAGGTGAACTGAACTAGAAAGAGTCACAAAAGCACACGTGCACATTAAAAACCCAGCATCCAGGACCAATGTACAACTGGTGACAGTGACCTGGCTGTGGGTCACCTGCCAGCCATTCCCCCATGTTGGCTTTGCCTTCAGAAGCCAGTGGTTGTGTCTGTGACAACATATCCAAGGAGTTGAAGCACAATCAGGACTGAAAAGTGAACACATGATTATTATTATTTTTTACCCTCCCTTCTGCTGTGGGTGACAGAACACAATCAGCCCCTGACGTGCTTGGTTGCTTGGTAGCAGACAGGCACATTTTTAATTATATATTAAAATATGCTAAAGAACATAAAACGGCTGCGTGACTAATATGTGTGTATCAAGAAAGGCACATGACAGCAGCAAAATTGCCTCAGTGTCTGATAAAAAGTGCCTTTGCCAGGCTTGTCATCAAAAGATCAAGGGAAAGGGATGGAAAGTATTATTAATAAAACAGTGACTTTTTAAAATACCCCTCATTGTTTGAGGTGCATTTTTTTTTAATGTCTAGCATGAATTTAATTATTTTCTATTTATTCAGCTTTGATTTAGTTCCTGCTTTTTTAAACAGGACTATTATATTGGACCTAAGATCTCTGCTTATTCTCTTATGATGCATTGCTCCAAAAAGAAAAGCAGAGAAGTCCCAGCTGGCTGCTTGCAGTGCAAGTTCTTCATGGATCTGTTTGAACAAAATTACTTTAGTGGTCAGAGAATAAGAAATTATTTTATTATTTACAAGTGCTGAAATAATTTCTTTTGCAACAGCCTGCTCTATAAACTGCTTTTCAGCAGGAAAAAAGAAAAGGAATATTAATAAAGTCCCAAACCAGTCTATGATTCTGTGGTTCTGGAATGCATAAAGGAGTATCTAAGCAGCAATCACTCATGCCCAGTGAACAGTACATTCAGTGTAGTCAGTGTAAAATGAGGATCAGACCAAAGCTCTTGAAGACATTAAAAGACTAAATGTATTTGAAGTGGCTAAAGAAACAGTGCTGAACACAAGAGCAATGCCCCGTTCCTGCTCCCCTGGAGCTGATACCTCTGGTGTGAATTACAAACTGCACTCGGAGAAAACAATCTGCAAAGGACATCAGGAAATCACAACTCGCCTTGAACAGGGTGGGCTTGCCGGGATGGAGCACAGGATGAATCCACGCCCGGTGGGTCTGTGCTGGGAAGGACACAGCCCCACAGAGTGTGCTGCTCCCCTTTCATCCAAGCCTTAACTCCTGCTGCTGGCACAGGCACACAGGAGGAAAGCCAGAGGGAGCAGGGAGCTCTGAGAGGTGCTGCTGAACAGCAAGAGAGCAGGCAAAGTGTTTGAGCAGGGCCAGAGTCCCTGGAGCTGTGTGCCCGTCCACCAAACCCTGCTTTGAGGCAGCATGCTCAATATGGACATCAGTGGTGACATTTATATATATATATATATATATATATATATATATATATATATATATATATA